GACGTGGTGTCTTTGATGAAGAAGGTCACATTAAGCAATACAGGTATCAATTTTTCTTTTTCTTTTCTTTTCTCTCTTTCTTTCTTTTTTTTTTTTTGCATATAGTGCCAATTTTTGTTTTGACTGATGTTTGGGTTAAAATAGTCTAGTTTATTATAGAAATGCAAAATTTTAGGGCTTAGAAGTCTTGTAGTGTTGTCAAGTTACATATAAGGAATGGCCCCGAGGGGCTAGTGATTTTAGTAAGGTCATTTGGTTAGATAGTGTCATTTAAGACCCCATCCCACCCCCTCACATTCACACAAGGACATACACACTTATTCGAGGTTCTAGAAATTTTTTTTCTATCCTGAAATCATCTGGGTATTATGGAGGCTTGAGTTCACACACTTAACTCATATCCTATGGGGGAATAAAAGGAGTGATTGGAATTCTTAAGTCTGAAGCTGGTGGTTTTTAAGTGCTGTAATTAAACTTGGACAGAGAGATTTCTCCAGAGTCAGATCAATTTAAATTTCCTCAGCCAATACTTCCAGGCTTTGGACTCTAGGTGGCAACATAGGACCTTTCGTTTGCTTTCGGGCAGCATCAGCAATCTGGACTGATCTTTCAGGAGGAAACCTGTTTATTTGGGTTCTTCTTGACCCTGGTGGACTAACAGCACTTTCTCTTAGCTAAACTAATGATCAGAACCTGGATGCTCACTTCTTAGAATTATTTTCACTATAATCCTCTGACAATAACTATTATTTAACAGGTCATACTCTGTTATGTCATATATTTGGCAGGGTCACATCTACAGAGAAGTGCATTTTTATTGATTTTTAAACTTCACAGCTTTCGTACAGCTGCTGCCCCTCTTCACTGAGTCACCCCTGCCTCCTCCCCACTCTCCCCAGCCCACTCACAGTGTACAATTCTACCTACCCCCTTACTTTACCCTTGCACCCCCCCCCAATATTTTATTTGAGTGGAATCAGCTTTAAATGGGCATAAAGGACAATTCTGAACAAAAATAGGACTCAGAGGATGGTCTGGTAAGTTGGGAAGGGAGAGGGTGACACTTCATGCATCTGATTTCTGAATCCATAGTATTTCTAGAGTGGGGTTTCTGAAGAAATGTTCTAAAAATCACGTGGGATGTTTGGACCATACTTGGGACCTACTGGGTCCCAGTCCCTGGAGGTGGGTCTGGGAATCTGTTAAGCTCCTAAAACTAGACAGCTGCAGATTTTCTTTTGATCGGATGGTAGTGCCATTTCAATCCCATCACAGCCTCTGGTATTCTGGCCTGGTGTCTGATTTCTACTACTGAACTCGGATCCTTAAAGTTCATGAATAAAAACAGCCATCCATCTCCCAGTGCCTGCTTGTTCCTCCTTTTTCCCTAACAGTGACCTGACCCCATAGCACCTAAGTACACATGACTGGAAGGGTATTATGGAATGGAAAGGACTTGAACTTTGGAGTCATAGAGAACCATGATCAAATCTTATCTAGTGATTTAGCTTGCAGGGGCTTCAGTTTCATCAGTTAACTACAATCACACCATTGAGAGTTGACTATATTATTATTATTATTATTATTATTGTCATTATTTGTCCCTTTTCCCTATTTAAAAATTTTAAAATATGATTTTACATTACGTGATAGACAAATATATTCTCATTACAGAAACCCAAATGATATAGATGAGGTTAAAGTCCCCTTTTACCTTTTTAACCCAAAGTCCGTGCCAGGTAGGATTGTGCTGAATACTGTTTTGAAATGTGCTCTGATGTCAGATCTTAGGAATCTTTCCATACTAGTACATTTAAATCCATTTCATTCTTTTGAACTGCTGTAGAACACAGTCTTTTTTCCAGAACTACAGATTCTCAAGAAATTGTACCTACAGCTTTATATACTGTTTTTTCATTTCATATATGTGAATATTTCCCCATTTTGCTATAAATTCTGATGCTATACATCAGAAAACATGATTTTAATTATTTCATAGTTATCTAGCATATAAATATACTAAAATTAATTTAATAATTTATTTAATAATTCTGACTGTTGGATATTTAGGTTGCTTTCAATGTTTGATTATTGTTCCTTTTAAATAATTCAGTGCCCCCTTACACTGCCCATTTCCATGGCTCCCTTATTTAGGGAATATAGATACATGTATTATAACCAAGTAATTAAAGTCTTTGTAAAGTGTGTGATGGGGTCAAGGTCAATTTGTAGTTTTTTCCTTTACCTTAGGCACAAATTGCTCTATGAGAGAGAATGGGTGTTACCTCCTAACTTCTTAAACTTTTGTTGAAACTCAACTCTCCTCAGCCAAATAACTGAAGCAAAATGAAGGTATCTTTCCAGAACTGTTTACTTTGAGCAGGTGAGCATTTTCACAATTAGAAGGGAAGTTTGCAATCAGTTTCTTTAATGGAAAAAGGCACTCTTATAGAATTAATCCATGCCTGGCTCAGAGGAAGTAAGACTCTCTGAAATTGATTGGATTAAAGGGCTCCTTAAAATCAGAAATACTTGGGTACTCATCTGCTCTGCTGGGTGATTGACAGAGGTCTTCAAGCCATCATTCTTCATGGGAGGTACTTGGTGTTGAATTGTTGTGATTTCAGAGCCTCCTGGATTAGGATCAATTAAACCCATAAATAGAAATGAGTTGCCATTATTATCCCTAAAATGATACCCCAACATGTTCACCTGGCCCACTCCTGCGTCATGCAGGAGTTATAAACAGACTTGTAGCACTTGGATGGGCACAGCTAAATGCAAATGCTGGGAGTAATAGTCATGGAAAGAATGTGCTGGGTTTTAAGTGAAACATGAACTTGACTATTTTGCCCCTTTAAAAATACAAAGGGAGCAGGAGACATAGCCTCTACCCTTGAGGACATGTTAATCAAATATTACTATACTACCAACAACATTAAAAGCTCCAAACTAGAAGGCTTTATAAAGGAAATAAAATGCAATAGTGACTAATGGCAGTTGCAGATTTAAAACAACACTGAGAAGGAAATGAATAGCATTACTCCACAAAAGTAGTCTGGATATTCCAAATATTCAGTGTTTCTCCTAGAATTACAATGCTCTTTGACTCAGAAAAATTTAGATAATTTGGGGTTCAATTTATGTTGTACAATTTTCATTATTTAACATCTGCTATCTTTGGGAATGTGATTAGAAGGATGGTCCAATAGCTGAGAGGAAGCTGATCTCTCTCTTTCTGTTCCTTTGTCTCTCTCTCTCCCTTCCCCTCTGCCCCTTGACACATTCATCCGGTCCAAGGAGAAAGAAAATTAGGACTCTGGATGTATACAGCACCATCTGTCATATGTGGCATCTGTGATTTCTTAACACCTTCCATAATGCTGGGAACAGGGACTGCGGTCTCCATTTTACTGAGAGAAAGTAAGGCAGGAAAGAGTGAGTGAATGGTTTACTGGCCACCCAGCAGGACTGCAGCATAGCCAGGATTAGGGCACAGGGTTTCTGAATTCCAGAGTACTCCTCTTTGCTCTTTACCACTCTTACATTTTCGACCAAATGCTTGCACGCTTGCTTCCTGGTTAAAATAACTTATTTCACTTGCTTCTACCAGAAGCAAAAAGTTACCCTTTGGCCACCCCCTGGGTGGAACTTTGTTTTCAAGCACTCACTTCTAACTCCACAGGGCGATAAGCCACTGGGTCTCCAGGGAATTTGTGCTGGGAACCCAAGGGTGAAAGGTCATCCCCCCTCACCAACTCCTGTTCTTCCTTTGGTGAGTTGTCAGGCAGCCTCTCAACCATTGATCAATCAACCCCGACCACAGCCTGACTTCCATTCGGCTATCACAAATTCTGACAAAACAGGCATCTTCCTCCCCTACGCAGCTGGCCTCTCTCATCACCTCCGCGTTTTCTCTACCATTCTGTCCCTATCTTATCTTTCTCCTTTCAACTCCTTAAGTCTCGAAGCTGTATTGACTCTAACCTCAGGAATTAGTCACCACCCTCTGGTGACCTGTAGAAGTTTCCATGAATTCGCACTCAGCACCTCATCTAGTGTGGTCAGATCACCTTTAAATGTGGGGGTTTGTGCATATGAAATAAATAGTGGATGAATCAATAAAGACCAGAGGCTTTGTTAGAGCTGGGAAGAAATGTGGAGGTCATCTGATTCAACCAATTCATTTTTACAAATGAAGAAACTTAAAAAGAGGTTAAGTGACTCTCTTGGGTTACACAATTACTAACATAAATAGTATTAACCAGATCTTCTGACACCCAAACTGCTTTTTCCCCCATGAAACCATCCAGCTTATACTTACTATAACTCTTATTCTATATTTGTCTAATTCCATTCATTTTTTTTAATGTTAGAGATAATGGCAGTTTTGTATTTAAGAATTTACCTATTATCTCTCAGCTTTATTCATTTTTTATAATAATGTATTACATCCCATACAGTATTTTAAAAACTTAAAATTATTTCCTAAATATCAAGGTAATACATGCTTAATGTGTAAAACTCAGAAGTAGTCTATAAAGAAAAAATTATTACCCAGTTTCGCCAATAAGACATAATTATTGTTAATGTTTTAATATATTTCCTTCTAGTTTTCGTACACTTTTCATACACTTTTCATACATCATGCTGTTGGTAGAGTTTTATATTCTAGAGTGTTTGTTTGCTTAACATATCATAAGCCTCTACTGTGTCATTACAAATTCTTTGTACATGTGATATAAATAGCTACTTATAATCCTATCATTTTATGGTAACACTGTCATCTTAACCATACCCCTAACTCTGGGTGCTTGGGTTACTTTCAACTTTCCATTTTTTTTTTTTAATTTTTTAATGTTTATTTTATTTATTTTTGAGAGACAGAGAAAGACAGCATGAGCGGGAGAGGGCAGAGAGAGAGAGAGGGAGACCCAGAATATGAAGCAGGCTCCAGGCTCCGAGCTGTCAGCACAGAGCCAGACGCAGCCTGACGCGGGGCTCGAACCCACGAGCTGCGAGCTCATGACCTGAGCCGAAGTCGGACACTCAACCGACTGAGCCACCCAGGCGCCCCTCAACTTTCCATTTTTTAAGGCGATGCTTCAATGACACTTATGCATACGTATTTCTGATCTTGGAAAAAAATCCCGGAAGTGAGTCAAAAGCTATGTATATTTTTAAGGTTCCTACCAATTGCTATCCAGGTAGATGGTGCCAACTGACACACCTACCAACAGGCTTCAGAGTTCCCCTTTTAAGTATTTTTCCAAAAATAGTATCTCATTTTTATCATCAATTCAGGTTTGACTGGCCCATGGTTTAAAAGAGCTGCTGAACACCAGTTCAAAATCAAAATTGCAAACCAGACTCACAGTCCCCTCTGCAACTGTGTTTCCTTAGATTGTTCAGGCTCCATTTGGGTTAGCCCCAGCCTCACGATGTCACTGCAAAGGAAAGGTGGCAGCTCTTTTTTTTTGCTTTCTGACTGTGTATATTTTACTGTGCTAAATGTAGTTGAAAGCGATAGAGAGTGGACCATATGCTAGAAACCAGAGGTACAAGAGTTTCTAGCCTCAAATCGGTCTCAGTATAGACCAGGAGATACACCTCCCAAAGCCAGGAGGAAGGACAGAGGGATTGCTGCTGCTGTACTGGATGTCTGCACAAGGTGTGTGGATGCCCAGACCAGGCACACAGACGTCAGCCCCTGGAGGCAAGGGCAGCTTTTAAGGAGAAACAGCACTCAACCTTTATCTTCAGGGGTGGGGAGTGTGTCAGACAGAAGACCCGAGATGACAACAGTCTATGCAGATGGAATGTACTGAAGCAAACTGCACTGTGGCAAACACTGTAGAGGTCAGCCTCTGATCTCCAGCCCCTTTAGACACTTGTCATCTTGGGACGGTTACTTAACTTCTCTGTAGTTCAGATTCGTCAACTATAAAAATATCACTAAAATAAACAACTTCAGAGGACTGTGAGGAATAATGGAGAAAACTCAGGCAAAGTGCTTAGAAAACATCTTGGTACATTGTAAGAGCTCCCAAGATGTCAGATACCATTGTCGTCATCATCATCACTGAAGCAGTGAGTTCCTACGAGGAAGTGGTGGCAGATGTGGGATTGGCAGGAGAAGGGTCAGTGCACGAAGGCCTTCTATAACATTCTGAGAAGGCTATACCTTACCCTGATATCCATCATTCCCTTTGAGATGTTTGCAGTTTTGGAGTTAACTGTCTCCAGGCAGGAGGATGAACCGATAATCTCCTCAGATTCCTTGCAGCTCTGAGACAGGATTCCCACCTGAGAGCAAAAGAGTCAGTTTTTATTCTAAGCACACAATCTTACAGAACACAACTGCTTCCATTTAGCTTTGTGCCAATAACCAAAGGAAGGTATCTTCCCTGCACTGGTTAACAGTCACCTAGTGGGAATAATTCTTTTAAAAAAAAATTTTTTTTAACGCTTAATCATTTTTGAGAGATGGAGAGAGACAGAGCATAAGCAGGGGAAGAGGCAGAGAGAGAGGGAGACACAGGATCTGAAGCAGGCTCCAGGCTCTGAGCTGTCAGCACAGAGCCCTACATGGGGCTCAAACCCACGAACCGCAAGATCATGACCTGAGCTGAAGTCGGACACTTAACTGACTGAGCCACCCAGGTGCCCCAGGAATAATTCTTTTAATAATATCAAACTATTTAGTGACAGAATAAATTCCTAGGGATGGGAGAAGTGTATAAAGGACTCCCAGCCAAAAGAAAAAGATCTCGGGTATTATCACCTCTTGTGGGGCTTGATTTTACTGGAAGGAAATGTAAAACAGGAAGGACTGATTTTGTCCAGTGAATAGAGACTCTCTGCTCCCTTTTCCTCTTTTCCCTTGTAGCTTAAAACACTGCAGCATGGAGGGCAGTTGGACCACAGCAGCCCTTGCCTCCCATGTTGGGTTCATTTCTTTTTCTTTTTCTTTTTTTTTTTTTTTTAATTTTTAAGTTTATTTATTTTGAGAGAGAGAGAGAGAGAGAGAGCGAGCACAAGCAGGGGAGGGGCAGAGAGAGAGGAAGAAAGAGAGTCCTAAGTGGGCTCCAGCATGGAGGGCTCAATCTCATGAGCCATGAGATCATGACCTAAGCCTAAATCCAGAGTCCGATGCTTAACTGACTGGGCCACTCAGGCGCCCCAAGCTGGGTTCATTTTTGACTACCTGGTTGGTACATGAAGTCATCCCAGGTACTGCTCCCCTGTCCCCTCACTCCTGTCTCTCTGCCTCAATCTGCCTGTCCCCAGCTTCACACAACTCAGCTCCACTCAGCTTCTATGAAGGCAAATATGTCTCTAGAGATGCATTGTTTTCTCCATGGACAGACCGGCTGGAAGAAAGGAAATAACTGTCCCTCTGAGTGTGTACCAGTTGTCCTGGCACAAATATTATAGTGCCTCTTTTCCCTCTCCAAAGTGTCCTGTTTGGAGAGCAAGTTATATGCAAACTCTACAGTCACATGTGTATTAAACATTTATCCTATCAAGGCCAGGGACTGGGTCATTTTTTACTAGGCAATCTCCAGCACATGCCACAAATCTCCTGTACTCTCTGTAATTTAACCTTGGATAATAGTCCTGCCCCCCATAAAGGCTCTGGGACCTGAACATCAGTTTTTACATCTGTAAAGTGGAGATAATAATACTTACCTTCTAGAACTGCAAAGAAAACAAAGGGACTACTGATTTTATATTCTGGGAAGTGTAAAACATTATATAGATGTCATGTTCCAGAACTTAACATGGCAATTGTCACATGGTAAGCATTCCATAGATGCTTGTTGGTTGAATGAATAGATGAATAAACTAGTAATGATGAATTAACAACCTTTAGTGGGGAAAACGATTGATTCTCCTAAAATTGGAGCACTATACTTAGCAACCAAAACTGATTTGAAATCTTACCTTACAGCCAATCTATAGATAATATGGCAAAATGAACCTCTCCCGTAGGCTTGCTGCGAGGACTAGAAAGAAAGTAATTGAGAAATATTAGGGCAAGTGGCAAATGAAGCTGAAACACAACTAAAGGTGACATAAGGAGACAGGTCCCTATAAGTTGGCCCTTACTGTCACTTCAGGGCTGGCAGGTGACAAGAGAGGGGCAGGATGTACCCTACCTGGTTTTCTGGTAAAGCTCATAACCTCTAGACAGTACTGAGCCAGGATGGTGATTCAAGTTGGATTTCTTGATTCTTGTTTAACTTGGGAGCATAACAAGGGAAGTGCATTGCTCATACCAGTGTGGAAACGCCACTGTCGGGTGCACTTTTATGACCTGACTGGTCCCTCACTAATAGGTACCATAAAATGCTAATTCGTCTTCTTTTCTGATTGGAAAGGGAAAGTTCGATTAGAAAACAAAGCATTGAACTGAATTTGTTTTCAGCCTGAGTGTTAGAATGTATGATTCTGGAATCACAGAAGTCTGACTTCCACATCAGGTTTGATTTTTCACAGTTAGAGCTAACAAAAAGGAGATCCTGACAAAGAGGTAGGAATCTCAACTAAATACCCCTAAATACCGACTCTGCATGTGTCTCCTAACACTGGAACTGGCCCTGGCCCAGTTATTTGGCATTTTGTGGCATTTGAGCCCCACAGAAATTATAAAGGCTGTGGGATTTGTATTGAGTGATAGGATGTTGGATATATACAAAGCCTCTTCTTTTAGAAGCCAGTTTTTTAACTTTGAAAAATCAGTTTATGGGGCGCCTGGGTGGCTCAGTCGGTTAAGCGGCTGACTTCGGCTCAGGTCACGATCTCACAATCCGTGAGTTCGAGCCCCGCGTCGGGCTCTATGCTGACAGCTCAGAGCCTGGAGCTCGTTTCAGATTCTGTGTCTCCCTCTCTCTCTGCCCCTCCCCCATTCATGCTCTGTCTCTGTCTCAAAAATAAATAAACGTTAAAAAAAATTAAAAAGAAAAATCAGTTTATCAATGACTGTGTTTCCCACTTATTTATGCTTATCAGCATGGTCCTCTCTGAATGTCAACGACTGGAGATTGGATGAGGTCTCAGAGCCCTTTGGGCACTGTTGGTACCACAAGGAGAGCAAGAGAAGAAGACCCTTTCCTCAACAAGCTTGCTGTCTAATTGGGCTGACAGGACACATCCGTGAGAAAATAAGTAGTGACATGAAGCAGAAATGACAACCATTCCACTGCTCTGAGAGCCTGAGTGAGAAGTAGAGAAGTGACATGATAAAGCTGGAGAAGCAAAACCCTACCCAAACAAGCTGAGAGAAGGTGCAGTACTTTGGGGCCATGATGGTTGTGAATTCAGGCATGGGTTTTCAGTCCTTTCCTGCTTGATAAATATCATTAGACACCCCCTGTTGTGGGACAGGCCCCTAACATGCTGCCTCATCTCAGTTCTGACGATATCATTTGTATTTTGGTCCTGCTCACGAAAGTCTGTAACCACCTCCTGTGCCTGTGCTAGAACTCTAAGGGCTTGTTTTCTCACATCTGAATCACTGTGGTACCCTGAGTTCTCCTGCTGATCAGTTCAGGTTTCCAAGTTCTTACCCAGCCACGTGGGCAATGCATCCTCCTAGGAACTGGAAGTCACGTAGGAGAAGTGTGACAAGACTAGCAGAACTGATGCAGCATAGAAAGCATTCCTAGACAGGTCTGCAAGTATGCGACACAGCCAAGGAAGTCACAGCATGCAGCCAAGAACACTGTGATACCCTCCAAAGATATACGGCAACGATACAAACTTTAGAGGCAGGAAAATTTGGATCCAAATCCTGGTTCTGCCATGTAGTAAAATGGGAATGTCATAAAACATAATTCCTAAAGTTATGAGGTCTGAATGAACTACCTTTTATAAAGTGTTTAGCTCTATGCTTGGCATATTGTAGCTTCTTTTCTGGAAGTGTGGGAAGAATTGCATAAAGGACACACTGACCCCTCAATTCAATGAAAAGCTGCAGAGAGAGATTTAATCCATCCAGGGAGACTCATCCACAATTAGTCTCACAGTAACAGCAATGAGGTCCTTGAAGAGAAGCATTAATATCCAGGAAAGATCATGAACTTTTGCTGGTCAAAAATAGTGGATGCACTATTAACTGGCTCATCTCATTTAGAGAGAGTTCCCATCACATTGCTTTTCACATAATGGAAACTGAATAACTGTTTCTTGAAATTACTGTATCATAATATTATATATTAAATATCACATGAATTCTCAAATTTTCAAATAATATCATATTCTGTCTATAATGTTAAAACCATGCAGAATACAAATTACCCTTGGGGGAAGCATAATTCAGATGTTTCAGGATGCTTTCGTGCTCCGAGACATTACTTTGCATACTAGTTCTCACTAAGTGTAGTAGGTTGCATTTTGTCCTCCTAAAAGATAGGTTTTAACCTTGGTACCTGTGAATGTGGCATTATTTGGAAATCGGGTCTTTGCAGATGTAATTGGTTAAGATGAAGTCATATGGGAGTAGGATAGGACCTAAATCCAATGACTAGTGTCCTTGTAAGAAGAAAAGAAGACACACAGAAAACAGACACAGAGAAAAGAAGTCCATGTGATGACAGAGACAGAGGCTGGGGTGTTGCAGCTGCAAGCCAGGGACACCAGGATTGCTGGCCACCACCAGGTGCTAGGAGGAGACAAGGAAAGATACTTTCTGAGAGCCTTCAAGAGGGAGCGTGGCCCTGCTGACATCTTGATTTCAGGACTCTAGCCTCCAGATCTTTGAGAAAATATATTTCTATTGTTTTAAGCCACCGAGGTGATGGCTTATGGCAGCTCCAGAAAATGAATACATCAGGATACACCTGAGTGGAAGTTTTGATGCCCATATTTTATGTTCTCACAAAAGTAGAAGTTATATTTTAATAGGAGAGATGTTCCTTAGTACAGTTAGAAGCACACTCATGTCATAATCCTATACGTTAAAAATTAATGTTATTGAAAATTTATGTGTATATCAAATTGTAGCACCTAAAATCATATGCTAACTACCCTGAAAGTATTCACCATTAAACATTCATGTTCAGTGAAATCAGTGGTGAGGCAATTCATCATCTCTACATAGCAAATTTTCAGGAGTAAAAGTAGCAGAGTAGTGTGACTTCTTTTGTTACTTCTAAGACAGCCATGTTTACTTTAAAACTTTTGTTCTTTTCTTTTTAAATTAGCAATTACGTGGACCTGCTAAAAGTAACAAAGTTAAGTACCATTTTGAACAAAATGCTGTTTTTCCCTGTAAGATAAAAACTTAGCATAAAACTCTAAGCATGAGAAAGTTCAGGGTGCCTTGTATTTACAGTCTTTATCAAGCAAATAATATTCATATTTTGAATTATGCAAATAAGCATTTACATGATAAATTGTAATTGCTCTCAGACAGCTGTTTATAATTGGGTAAATGAGACACACTTTTAAATTGTCTAAATACATACTTACCCATGTTTACATATTTATACACTACACTGTAACTATTCTGAATCAGCTGTTAGCAACTATTGTGTCTTATACAGACCAAGCAAGGGAAGAGAACTTTTCGTAAAAACAGCAAAATCCCTTTTAACTTGCTAGAATGACCAAATCGTTGGCAATCCTTCTCATCTTCTCAAATAAGGGGTGACCTCTCTCAATATACCCCTTGCCCATGGTATTCCATACTGCTTCAAGCAGGAATGATTTTATATCACTTTGGTTGGGTGAGAAATTAATCCTGATTCCTATTCTTATCTGATTAGATACACCTGTGACAAAGAAACATGTTCCTTCTAATGGAATGGTTTTATACTTCAAAGGTCCAATTATCTTATATTTGCCATTGTATTCTTTTTAAAAAATTATTTATTTAAATTCATATTGGTTTCAGGAGTAGAACCCAGTGATTCTTCTCTAACACATAACACCCAGTGCTCATCCCAACCAGTGCCCTCCTTAATGCCCGTCACCCATTTAGCTCATCCTCCCACCCCCCTCCCCCCATTGCAACCCTCCGTTCCTTCTCTTATGAGTCTCTTATGGTTTGCCTCTCTCTCTGATTTTATCTTATTTTTCCTTCTCTTCCCCTATGTTCATTTGTTTTGTTTCTTAAATTCTACATATGAGTGAAATCATATGATATTTATCTTTCTCTGACTGACTTATTTCACTTAGCGTAATACTCTCTAGTTCCTTCCTTTTACCAATGTATTCGTATGTCAATAAAAAAATATCAACAGGTATTTTCTTTTGAAAATACAGAAGAAATATAAAGCACCAGCGCCTGTCCTGGAGAGGCAGCTAGAATTAGCATGTCTGAAATGTTCAGAAAGCAATCAAAAGGAAAAGCAGATGGTGTTGACCACAAGAGCTAAGGGAACTTAGAAAACAAAACAAGAGGTAGGATGCACGATCTTGGGCAAGGCGGTCTGGGTTCTGAGGACTCTGGGAATAGCTCACCTCTCCCGGTAGAGTGAGGTGTCAGGCTGCTGTGAGGCAGGCCTGGATGAGCAATACAGGGCCTGTGGGATTGAACACACAACCCTCTTCCCACCAAATTCACATGCACCCTGCCCCCCTCCCCCACACCTTCCCCCGGAAATCCAAGAGCCTGATGTGAGTGACACAGCCTTGCCATAACCATTCCCTCCTCTCATTTTTCCCAGTAGGCAAAGAATCCTCCTCTGATCCCCACCTTAAAAAAAAATCTTCAAGCATTTCCCTTTAGTTTCTTAGAGCAGTCAATATTTGCCTTGTTCTGCTTTTCTCTAGGCAAATGCATTTGTTTCTAATTCATCTGATTCTGTTCTTATACAGTATTTTATATGTGCCAGAGAGAACTTATACAAGATGCTCTGGCTGAATTGAGAGGATTCAAATGCTACTTCAGGGATTCACACACTGGGAAGAATGAATCCGAAAGCATAGCGACTGGGGGAAAAAACACCTTGAAGCGGCTATAGAGTCACCAAGAAATGAAAACATTAGGGCTTGGGAGGCCGAGCCTCTATCCTTCCATTAAGTGCAGTGAGAGCCTCCGCACTGCGAGCAGAGATTTAGAGCCATAACAGCAAATAGGCCTGAGGCCAAAGCTCTGAATCTGGAGGGTCTGGGTTTAATGCAGCAGAGTTTAAGGAAATCTCTTCTGTAGGCAACTTTTTCCTAACTCTGTTCAGAAAAGAAAAGCTACTTCAGGGACTAGTACTGCAGGGCACGGGGAAGTAGAAAGAGGCCTAGATTAGGAAAATCTGGTCTTGAAGCCAAAGTGTGAGATGCTGGGCAAGTCACCCAAACTCTCTCTGTGCCTCAGTTTCTTCTGTGAATTGGATGAAGTTCAATTCAGCTCTGTGACTAACGACCCTAAACTTATTATAGTACAGCTCTCAGCTGCTCTGTGAATATAAAACTCAGCCTCTCCACCTCCCCAGGATAATTATCATAGCAACAATTGTCATGATAAACACCTATTAACTGTGGGCAAACACCATGCCACGCACTTCCCATAAAATATCTCAATAATCCTCACAACATCCATATGAATGATCATTTCTATTTTATAGGTGAGGACACTGTGGCTCCAAGA